TCAGACTCTTCATCCGTAAAAACTAATTAAACCAGCCAGCGCGCACAAGCACTTTGGAGTGCAAAGCAATTAGTGGTTTCTCTCTCACTCCCCATGAAAGGGGAGAGGGAGTTCTGCAGACAGAGCCTGACTGGGGTTACTAGGGTAGAGTTTGGGGCCTGCCTCGGCTTCACCCACCCTAATGGGGCTTGCCTGGGGCTGCCAGGGCCAGGCCTCTGCAGCACCCGTCCCTTCCCCCATGAGCTACTCACCTGTCTTCTCTCCCCTCACCAGGCAGGCCACTTGAGGCCAGGGAGGGGCTGGCAGCACAGAGCTGGGTCAGTGCCTATTTCTGATCTGGAATGCTATAACAGGGGGCTTCCCCACCCCCTCTATAGCTGGCACTCTGCCCACCAAGACGGGGAGCTGGGGACCAGGAAGAGCTGCCAGAGGAGCCCTCGGCCTCCTGCACAGCTGGGTCAGGACTGCGAGCCAGGCCAGGCTGACCTTTCCCAGGGGAACTAGAGTCTCACATCCAAGCCCAGAGCCTGGCCTGCCCCTCCTGCCCAGTGTGGCACTGAGCCTGAGGGCGGGTAGCCAGATCCTTGGGGCTGCCTGATTCCTGGGGAGGCTGTTTCCTGCACATGCTCAGTCCCTAGTCAGTGTGAGCCCTAGGCAGGCAGCCCTAACTCCATGCACACCAGAAGGGAAGGCGCCTATCTGCCCACCTGGAGCTGTAGCTATCGTGTCCCCTGCCCTACTCACTCCACATGCTCTTAGAATAACAGCCAACTCCATCCCACAGCTGTTAAGGCCAGTGTCCCAAAGGCCTCTCCATCCCCTGCCTCTCTCACCTTCTTACTCTTTGGGTTTCAGCAGGTTCTTACCTGACCACATGGCCCCTGCCACAGGGCCTTTGCATGTGCTGTTCCCCCTGCTGGGATGCTCTTCCCCCTTGTGGACTAACTCATTCAAACCTTGAAGCAGCCCCAATCCCCATTCTGTGGGAATGAGTGTTAGGTGAGTGTTGGGGTTCAAAGCCCTGCTTTACAAGTTAATAGCCGTGTGACCTTGGGCAGCTCACTTGACTTCTCTGGGCCTCAGTTTCCTCATCTGAATAAAAAAAAAAACTGATAACAGCACCTGCCTCATGAGCTTGGTGGGGCTGAAGTGACTCAATGACACTACCTGGTGGCCAGGAGTACTGAGAGGTGCTCAGCAGCGTTACTGAGCATCACCCACTGTTGGCTCGCATTCTGGGTGTCAGCCCAGTGGCTGCTTTTCCAAGGGAGCCTTCCGGGCCCGGTGGAAGCTCCAGCCCTGTGGAACGTCCTCTAAATGCCACTTCCCACCTGCTTCCGGCCCACTTCCCAATGTGCATGTAGGGCCAAGGTCCTGCTCAGGGTCACACACCCACAAGGGACAGAGCCAGGACTTGAACACAGGAAGACAGGCTCCAGAGTCTGTACTAAACTGTGGGCCTGCTACTTCTAAGCAACTAGTATATATCCAAGACTGTACATTTATGGCCCACGCCACCCTTATGCCCCCAGGAGATAGCAGCCCAGACTCATTTTAGAGAATGCGAGAAATGAGGCTGCAAAGGAGATAGGCCAGGCCAGGGTCACATGGCTAAGGAGCTGGCCGACCCGACAAACCAGGACAAGGGGCTCAGGAAGCCCAAGATATCGCTGCACTAAGTCCCTCTGCTTTCTTTCACCAAAACTGCATACAGGTAACTGTACTGGGCTGAACAGTGTCCCCCAAAATTTCCCCCAGCAACCTGTGAATGAGACCTTATTTAGAAAGTCTTTACAGATATGATCAAGTTAAGATGAGGTCATACTGGATTAGGGCGGGTCCTTATAAGAAGAGGGAAAATTGGGCAGACACACAGAGCCACGTAGAGAAGGAGGCAGAGACTGGGGCAGCATGTGGACAAGCCAAGGACGCCAAGGACGGAGACGACCCCCAGAGGTGGAGCAGGAAAGGCAGAATGCTCCCCTCCCACCTTCAGGGAGGGCACAGCCCGGCCAGCACCTTGATTTCACACTACTGGCCTCTAGAACTGTGATGGAACGCGTTTCTCTTGTTTTTAAGCCGCCTGAGTTGGTACTTGGCTGCGGCAGCCTCGGGACACTAATATACAAGAGCTGCTCTAACTGCCACTGTGCAGGTGAGGAAACTGGGACACAGAGGTACCTGACTTGCCTGGGGTTACAGAGCTAAAAAGGTCCAGAGGCCAAAGTCTGGCTCTCTCTGGGCATGGAGGACCCCCTGCAGCTCACCCTTCAAGGCTGGCCGCTGGAAGTCTTCCAGGATGTTCTGGGTAGGCTCAGTGGCCCTAAGGACCCAGAGATACCTGGCTGCTCACCTCCACAGGCAGGCTCACCTCTGGCTGCCCCTGCCCTACACAGGGTGAACGGTGGGTAGGAGGGTAGATGGATGCCACCTGCCCAGGGCACAGCTGGTTCTTGGGTCCCTGCCTGGCTTCTGCGGGCTGGACAGGGGCACCACAACCTTCTCAGCCTCCCCAGCCCTGCCCAGTGTGGAGGAGGAACTGCTGGGGCTGCCAGCACCTGCCTCCCTGACCCGCCTTCTCCTGCCGCAGTGAAGATACAGCCATTAGCAGTCACCCTGAGCGGTAATTGTCCAGATTGCCGTAATTCAAGGCAGAAGAACATGCCAGCGCACATCGCATTATTACAAATGTCACTGAGCAGGACTTCAACAAGCACGGTCCCAGGGGGGCTCTCCCGCCGCTGTCTCCTTGGGCAGGGCCCAGGGTGAGCTCACTGCTGCTGCTCAGGACCCAGCCTTGAGATGGTGGGGCACACTCCTGTCTCGGCTGGTGAGTCATCCCCAGTCGACCTCCCATTCCCCAGATCTGCCCTTCCTAAAGGGAGAGAGGGCAGTGCCAACTTGGCCAACACCCGGTTCCAGACAACACGGAGGAAGCCAGGGATGGAGGTGCCCTGAGGACAGAAGACACACCCAGAGGGGCACAGGCTGGCCCCCCTGGGCATGCACATGGGGCCTCTCACCCTCATGGGTGGGCGCCTTGGTCACATCACCACCAGAGGCTGAGACCGTGGGGTCTCACATGTTGTTAAAAACCTGTGCAATTCCACACAAATGTTCACAGCAACAATTAGTCACAACAGCCAAGATGTGGAAAAACCTCCAGGTCCACCGACCAATGGGTGAATGCGTACAGAGAGGGTGGTCCATCCATCCTGTGGACTATGACTCAGCCACAAAAAGGAATGAAGCTCCAACACAGCTCCAACACGGACGGACCCTGAAAGCACGATGCTGCGTGAGAGACGCCAGACACAGAAGGGCGCGTAGCATATGACGCCATTCATGTGAGGTCCAGACCAGGCAAACCCGCAGAGACGGGAAGCAGATTAGTGGGTGCCAGAGAGCAGCAGGGCTGGGAGACTGGGAGTGACTGCTAATGGCTATGGGGCCTCCGCTGGTGCGGGGGGGGGGTGGTGACAGGTTCTGGAATGAGACAGAGGTGGTGGTTGCACACTACCATGAATGTACTGAACACTGCTGAACTGTACACTCTTAAATGGTTAAAATAGTACATTTTATGCTATGTGTATCTTATCAAAATTAAATAAAAGGGGGGTAAAATCATGCAATTTCAATAAAGCCTCTTTTGCACCCCATGGTGAAATCCATACTAGAAACACAAAGTGGATGTGGAAGACAGAAAAACAACAGTGCAGCCCCCTCAGGGGGCTGACAGCCCTCATGGGCCCCCCATCAGCACTCCTCCAATTGGATGAACGTTAAGAGCTCAACTTACAGAGGAAGCAGGGTGCCCCTCTCCTCAGTGTGGCTGCGGCTCCAGCTGGCCCTCCTCTGGGTTATCTCACCTGAGGGCTGGGAGCCAGAAGGAAGGAGATCTGAAGCAGGGAGGGAGGGGTTGGGGGGCCCAGGTGGGCAGCCACTCAGGTGGGGCTGCTCCTAGTCAGTTTCTGAAACACCAGGGCTGGACACTCAGGCCCCACAGCGCCTGCTCCCAGGGTGGATGGGGGCAGGGAAGAAGACCCCAGTCCTGGTCCTGGCCTCTAGGCCCAGCTGCGCTCACATGTCTGCCCTGTGCACGTGGGGCCTTCCCTAGGAAGGCTGTTTGTTCTCTCTGGAGTCGTGACACAGAGCTCTGGCACAAGAAACCACGTGCCAGCACAGGGACAAGAGCAGGCGCGGCAGCTCCAAAACCTGGGCAGTTCTTGACATATGCTCCTTGCTCCCTCCTCCATGCAACAGGGACAGAAACAAGACTCACGACCTTTCAGGCTGGGGTCAAGGTGAAGGAGAGTAAGCAGGTAAATGGGGGCAAAGGAGAGGGAGGGCTGGGCCGCAGGCCTCTCGGGACAGAGGTCCACACAGAACAGCCCTGATGGGGAGATTACACTTGGGCATCTCAAGGCCTTTTACTTCCAGCCCCTCCCAGCCAACCCAGGCTGGGAAAGCAAGGCATAGAGACAGGTCACCAAGCCAGGCATAGAGACAGGTCACCAAGCCAGAGGTGAAGGACCCAGCTATGCTGGTTCCAATGAATACCCAGTGGCTTCAGAGGGAGGACGTGGGGTCAGCATCCCAGCACATGGCCACCAGCCACTCTGGGCCCTGCATCCCCTGAGATGACGCAGGTGAGTGGGGATGTGGATTGACCCTATGACCCGGTACCCCCACTGCACAGAAGCCCAGGGGCAATGCTGCCACTCTAAGGGTCAGGATGTGCTGACCCCAGAGGTCACTGAAGCTGTCCACCAACCGTGTGCATGTCACCCTGGGACACACTGTGGAGCATGTGACATACCACACAGACCCAACTACTGGAGGGTAACACTGAAGTTCCAAGGAGAAGTGACCATCGGAGCCCCCCAGAGGTGAGCCTGTCCCCCAGACAGTACCACAGGCGCAGTTCAAAGCCCAAACTGTCAACACCCTCCTGGCCACGTGAGCTTCTGTGGCTGCTTGGAGCTGCCGGAGACCCTCACCTTTCTTGGCTGTTTCCATCTCTTCCTCGGTCCAGCGGGAGCTCTCATTCATCTCCATGGAAGCTGAAAGGGAGAGAGGAGTGTGTTGGCCCCAGTCCGGGGGGCAGTTCAGCCTCCACCCAACCCAGGGGTGGGGGGTTCAATCACTGCGGGAGGCAGACTAGGCCAGTGGCCTCTGCACGCACTTGGATGGGAAGGGGGCAGCCTACCTGGGAGCATGGGGAACTGTGTGAGGCTCAGGCAGAACAGGGACATGAGCTTCAGATGCACAGGGTCCTCACATGAGCATGGACTCCCAGGGCCTTGGTGACTCTCTGCCACGGGGCAGCACTGGGCATCCCAGGATGTTTGACACCATCCCCACCTATCCCCCTCCACAAGCCAGTGGTCCCCACTCCACCTGTGACACCTAGAAATGTTTCCCAACATGTCCAACCGCCCCTGGGGGTTAAAGCACTCCCAACAGAGACCCTGCTCTTCGGTACGACTGTTACATTCTCCACGGCTCCCAGTACAAGGATGAGCTCCTTGCATTGTTTAGAAGGATCATAGCTAGCCCTGGAGTTGGGTAGAGTTGGTCATGTCTCTACTGGGCAAACTCCCTCTGAGCTCCCCTGGACATGAGCTAGGTCCTTCCCTGCAAACTGCTTCAGACCCTGTGAAGCGGGCAGACATGAGGGAGCGGCACCACAGGCTCAGTGCCAGGCACAGAGTATGCACCTGGTCAAGACTGGCTGGCCAGTGGTGGGAAGTTCTGGCACAAGGGCACTAAGAATGAGCAGCTCAAGAAGGGGAGAGGCGATGGCCTCACCCTCCGGCCAGGCAGTCCCCCTCTCCCTGCTGCCATGGCCAGTCCATCTAGGAGACCACCCCAACTTCCCTCTTCCTCCCACAGGACCCCCAGAGGCAGATGTGAAAGCTGAGCCTGGGGTGGGGGCCCGAGCGGTGTTTCCTACCCCCATAGTCCAGCCCCGTACTGGCCTGGGGTTCCTGAGGAAGTGTTCCCCAGAAGGCTGGCATACCCGCATGCTTCTCAAGTAGGTCCTGCTGCCCTGGGCTCCAGGCAGCAAGGAGCAACTGCCAAAAGCCTACAGGGTAGTACAAGATTTGTGGCCAAAGTAGCTGGCTTTGATTCCCAGCAAATTCCACAACTTTATGGAGGCTATGTTCCTTCTCTAAGCCTCAAATAGCACATTTATGAAATGGGTATAAATTACCTCCCTTGGAAGGAGGGCACAGGTACCTGACTCAGACCCTGGGTGTGGGAAGGGAACATCTGTGAGAAAGGAAGCACCACCTACATCATCCCTCACCCTAGGAAGGCATTCTGGCTGCTAGGCTCAGCCTGACACTCAGAGCCAGGTGGGGGCATCCACAGAGGCGGTGTGGGAGGCCCCAAACAGCCAAAACACTTCAGAGACAACAGACACATCGGCTGCCCCCCTGTGGCTGAATTTGGGAACTGCTACTCAATTCACCTCATTCCCCCACCCCTTGGGTGCGCGGTGAGGCTCCAGCACCTGGGGATGGACACCCGCTGTCAGGACAAACTGAATTAACAGTAGGAACCCAGGTGCCTGAGGGGAAGTGGGGGCAAGTGTGGGGAGCGGGGTTCCTCCTAAAAAGAGGTGGTGGCTACTCAGCTCCAAGAACTGCTACCCAGCAGAAATAGAAACCCAGTACTGCCAGAGCTGATTGAAAAACAAAACCAAAACTGGTAATCTGGACTTATATGTGAGCGCTCCCAGTTCTGCAATCATCACTAGCCAGAGCGTCCCCCCTCAAGCACTGCTCTAGGCTCCTCACACACACAGTCACTGAACAGTTGCCCCAGGCAACCACTGTGCAGATGAGGACACTGAGGCACGGAGAGGTAACGGGCTCGCCCAGGTCCACGGTGTCCCAGCTAAAGGTGGGACCCTGGACACACTGTCCTCCTTGGCCCACCACTCACCCAGCTCAGCGCTCTGCTGCGGGGTGACAGCCTCCTCGCTGCTGGCCTCGTTGGCCATTGAGCGGGTGATGCGGCCTTTGCGTCTCCCCTGGCTGTTGGCAGTCTTGCGGCCTTTGGAGGCCACTGCCTCCTTCTCATCGTTGTCCTCCCCAGAGGTGTCATCCGTCTTCTCCCTAAAGGTCAGAGAGGGAGACAGGGATGGCTTTGCCAGGCCAGGACACCAGATGGCGGTTGCAAGGGCCCGGCTTTCCTCTGCCTAGACGAGCGCCGGCTGCCAGTGGATTTTGTACTGATCAGAGGCTAGAAAAGAGGGGAAAGCTCTGGGTAAGGGCTGTCTGGGAGCAATCTGCAAGGATTCTTTAGCCAACAGACGGGACAGTATGGCTGGGAGCTATCTGCAATGCCATTTTATTTACCAGAAGGGAAGCATGAGCTGGCAGCTATTGATACCTTTATTCTCCAAGTGAGGGGACATGGACTGGTAGTTAACTGGGCAGCTGTTTTATTCATGCAGTGGGAGTAGGGGCTGGTGGAGCTAACTTCAAGACCATTTTATATACAAGAGAGATGCTCTCTGCCTGTGAGACTACTGGATTCATAGCATGGGGTACAGGCGGGCACAATCTACAGGCTACTGGACCCCCAGGGGAGTTCCTGACAGGGCTCTATAAATGGCGCCACCTTTGCTTTTGGTATTATCATGGCCAGTGTGCCTTGCAGAATATGCAAGAGGAAAGTCTCCTGCCAGGCCTATGCAGGCTGAGCCAGGTGTGTGGGGGTGCATGTGACCTCAATACCCGGGGCTGGGCTTTCTCAGAAGCCGGCTCAGGAGAGTTTACTGTGGGGCCGCTCAGATTTATCACCTCTGCCTTACATTCATCTTCCTGAAAGCGTGTGCGGACGTCTGGGAGACAGGGGGTAACGGAGCCAGATGTTCTCAGAAGCCACATTCCTGAGCCTATTCCAGGTACCTGGCACTAAGCCGTGCCCGCCCCCCTTTCTCGGTGTGAATCTCCGGCTGGCTGTGCTCGGCGCTGCCCCTGGCAGGCACGGGAGGCTGTCAAGGCCCCCGAGGCGAGGCTGTGCCTTGATCTGCAAGAACTCATACTGACAGCGATAATTCTAAAGGTGAAGGCAGCCGACTGCTGCCCGCCTGGTCCTTCTACAGACTCCTCTGATATCCTCCCTCCCAGCCTCTCGGGAGACTTGGCGGAAGAGGGGAGCGGAGGGGAGAGGAGGCAAAGAGCTCCCAAGTCACTGCCTAGATTTATTAGCTCAGGAGTAGAGCTCAAATGAGCTATCGGCCTCCAGGGTCCCCAGAGGGTGTGAGAAAGAAAGGGCTGGCAGGAGGACAGAGAGGAGGGAGGTGCTCCAGGAGGGGGCTGTTGGGGACAGAGCAGAAAACATCTCCCTTCTCGGCAGGCAATCCATAGATACCCGGTCACCATGTCCTAGCACACCTCCAAGGGTGGCCCACCGGGCCCTATGTTGAGCAGGCACAGATCACGCCCCGCCACCAGAGCTGTGGCTGTGGCCACCGCGGGGCCAGACCGGCCTTACTTGCTCAGCTCCTCCTTGTCGTTCTCCACGTCCAGCTTCTCCTCCTCCTTCTCGGGCTCCTTCTCCTTTTCCTTCTCATCTTTCTCGTCCTGGTTGCTCCGGGGCATCTGCTGCTGCGGAGCCCAAGGGAGGGCAAAGGGAAGGGGACAGAGCCACAGTGAGGCAGGTGTATCTCTGCATCTGGGCAGAGTGTGCCAGGAGAGAAGGGGACAGAATGACATAGGCTGGAAGGGGCTGCAGGCAGAGGACGCTGCGGGAACCCCAGTCCCCGAGGAGTCTCGGCCTGGGTGCCACAGCCCATGGGCTCTGGGGGGCAGAGCCACTGGGTGAGGTGCGAAGAGCACTAGAGTCAGACACCAGGGTCAATCGCACCTCCTCTACTTGGAGGCTGCAGGGCCCTGGATGATGGCCCTAACTAACCTCTCTGTGCTGACTCTTCCCCATGAAGGCAGGGGTACTCGGCGGGCTACACCACCGCAAGGGCTGGGGGGCTGAAATGACAGAGCCCTTACAGCACTGGGGTCTGGCACGGGTATTAAAGTGGGCCAAAGCCGACAGCCCAGAGGGGCCCCGGGGAGCCACAGGCCAGAGCAGGGTGAGTACAGGGAGCCTGGGACACATCCAACGCCCAGCCCCGCCTTTTACAGAGAGAGCAAAGGGTCACAGCGAAGCAGCAGGCCCCTCACCTCCAACGCACTGGGCTGACCCTGCCCTCACCAGGAGAGGGGAGGAAGCGGGAGCAGCCCGCCCCTTCCCACACGCAGCCTGACTTCCTTTCTGTCCCACTTGATTTCTTTTAAAGCACACATTGATTCTCTTGGCCATCCCACAGTCCTCCTGGGGGCAGCTGCCAGGCCATCCCACAGTCCTCCCTGGGGGCAGCTGCCAGGCCAGACCATCCTTCCATCCCACTGAGCCAAGGGAAATGAAAACAAACCCGCCAAAAAGCCTTTCAGTGTGTCCTAGGGGCATGGCCATGCCAATTTCTAAACCAGGAAAAAACCCAGGCTGATGGAGAAGGTGGGGCAGGGGTGCCCCCTGCCCCCGATCTACCCTCCATACCAGGCACACACACCTGTCCCATACACAGGGCTGCCTTGGCCTGGGACACCACCCCACACTCCCCCCTTCTGTAGCTCTAATTCTGGAAGCAGCTGAGCACAGGGTCTGGGGCACGCAGCGAGGATGTGCATGTTTGCTGGCAAGCATGGCTCCAAGCTTCCCTGGCAACCATTCCCACCCCCGAACCTCCTGCTTAGGTCTGGTCTCCTTCCCCCAAAGCCCCCCCATTCTATACACAGAGGGGTAAGGGTGCAGGCCAGCCAGACTTGGGACAGCCTCCCTCCACTGCGCTGCTGCCCATTTCCGATGGGTGTCCAGGTGTCCTGAACTGAATTAGCCTGGCCTTCCCCACCACCCAAACCCCTCAAATGCTTAAGTACAGACTTTCAACAGCAAGGGAACCATAGCTGCCTCTCACACCTGGGCAGCCTGTGAAACCTCTCTGGGAGCTGTCCCAGCAGGTGGGAGTGGGGACAGGAAGGTTTTCTGGTTTTCCCCCTTTGTGGGGGGTCAGGCGAGGCAGGGAGCTTGGTGTCTCCTGAGACCACCCGTGGTCTGAGCCAAGAACCCCAACCTGGGCTGCAGCCTTACTCCACAGCTTTTCTTGCTGTCCCCTCACTGGTCATGTAAGTCTGACTCCAGGCCACTCCCTGGGGGCACAACATCATCCCCTGGGTCTACACTGGTGGGATGTCTAAGCCCCCAGAATCTTGTCCTTGGGCCACAAAGCAGACCACGTCTGCCCCAGCACAGGTGGCAGATGTGGCTCTCTACCCACTGAGGCCCAGGCAGCAGTGGCCCAGCCTTGTACGAATGCATCATGACTAACAAGGGCTGACCCCAGGGAGTCCTGCACCAGCATGCTGCAGTGCAGGGCCAAGTGCCTTCCTGCCACAGCCCTCCTCCAAATCCCCAAGAAGCCCCACCGAGGAAGGTGCTGGCATTGCCCAAGTGCTTGCTACACGCCCAGCACTGCGCTGTGCACACTCTATCACCCAGCTCCTGGCCCCTCTGAATTGAGGATAAGGTTGAAGATGAAAACACCAACGGTGACAACTACTGGGAGGGTCACAGATTGGGGGCAGCCCATTCTGCAGCACCACATTCAGCAACTTGCAAACACTATCCCATTTAAGGTCCTTAGCCAACCTCAGATGGGAAAGAGCCAATGGGAGGGACCCATCAGGCTCAGAGAGGCAAAGCCTCATGGTCACAGAGGGAGGGGTGCTAAGAGTCTAGGGGGCAGCAGACAGGTCCCACAGTCCCCAAAGCCCCTCTGAGAGTCTCACCCAACTCCACCCCCGGCCAGAATCTGGGGCTGTGGGTGGGAGTTCTTTAGGCATCCCTGCCTCCCCTTTCTGCCTAGCCCATCCTGTCCCCAATTTGAGGCTCCCCAAGCCCCCACCTGGACCTGGGCTGGCCCATAACCATCCCTCCCCAAATAATCGTCCACATCACAGTACTAGTAATAAAAATAGCTTGAGGTGCCATGTGCCAGGCACTGCTCTACGAACTTCCAAAACCTTTATTAAGCTCCATTATTCCCGTTTGATAGAAAAGGAAACTGAGGCTAGAGACAGGGAGTGACAAAGGCAGCAAATGGCAGCCAAACCTTGGCTCTGCCCAGCCCCGTGTCCTGCCATCTCCACCTACCCATGCTGTCCCTGGGCCCCTCTGTCAGCCCACAGCCTGTGACTGGGTCAGACTCCCCTGCCCTGTGCCTGTCTTGTAGACACTCAGAAGTCCCCATCAGCACCAGACCCTGGTTATTCCCATCACTTCCTACCCCAACGTGTGACCCCACTGCCAGACCCCACCCACACTGCATCAAGCCCTCAAGGGCGGGCTGGGTGACTCCCATTCCCACTCTCTGAGTGGAGTGGGTGTGGTGACAGCCACCAGTACCACGCATTTGGGGCCACCCTGGAGCCACGACATAAGCCTAGGATGGGCACCCTGGGCCCTGTGGCCTGACCCCCATCTCCCTCCGGAGAGGCTCCCTGTACCCTGTGCTGAGTGACACCAGTGAAAGGGATGAAGGGAGAAACCCCAGGCCCATTGTAGCCTTAAAAGTATTTCCAATGGGGGGGCCCCATCAGGCATAATAATGACTATCTGCCTGGCCTCCAGGTGCAGGAGGTCCACAGGCTGACTTAGGGGTGCTCCACTTACTCCAGATTTATGGAACAAGATGGGGGCCCCAACTCATAGGCACCCCCATCGGCCAGCTCAGTCCCAAAGTCTTCGATGCTCTAGGTGGCCATTGCCTCAGCCAGGATTAACACCTTCTAGGGCCCTGCTTCTGAACCCCAGGCTCATCCACAGATTGCAGAAGGACCCCAGGCCCCACACACACCAATCATATCAGAATCTTGGGGTGAGACAGAGGCACCAGTGAGTTTAAATTTCTAGTCACTCCGGTGCGCAGCCAGGTTTGAGAACCAGTGCTTTAGACAAGGAGCCATCAAACTTTTCCTGCAAGGGCCAGATGGAAAACCTTCAGGGCCATTGTGTTCCATCACACTTACTCAGCTCTGCTGTTTGTGGTGTGAAAGCAGCCAAAATGTAAATATTTATTGGCTATGTGCCAATAAAGCTTTATTTACAAAAACAGGCCATGGGCCGGATTTGGCCTATGGGGCTATAGTTCGCCCACCACTGCTCCAGACCAGCACTGCTCAAACCTGCACACAAATGCCCTGGGGATACAGGGAAAATGTAGATTCTGATTCAGCGGTCCTGAGACCACATTTCTCAGGCTTCTAGGGAAGGTTGAAACTGCTGGTTCCCAGATCACACTCTGAGAAGCAAGGTTTTCTGGGGTCCTTGTTTCACAAAGCACACCCAGGCCACTGGAAGCCAGTGATGCCTGCTGGAAGAAGACCTGGAACCCCAACTCCACCATCTCAGAGGACACCAGAGTTCACGGTGGGTCTACCTTTGCTTTTCATGTATGTCATCAGTCAGGCTGATGATGGGCTTCATGCCAGGTGCTTGGTCAGGAACGTCCCTCCCAAACGACAGCACAGTTCTGTGGAAAGCCTGATAGGATCTATGGAACCAGAGCCACTAGTCCAAATCCCCACAGGACCCCTGCTTCCAGAGCACTGAGTGCTGGACAAGCTGCCTCTGAGTGAGCCTGTGATCCCCCAGACCAGGAGCTGTACTGAAAACAGTATGAATGAGAACAACAAATGTTGACTGAGCACAACAAGCATGTGATAAAGCCTTCCCTTCATTTCTTACCTGCTGGTTAGATAACTGAATCCTTCTAAGAACTCAGTATTATCTCTGTTTTACAAAGAATACAAAGACACAGAGAGGCCAAGTAACTCACCCAAGGTCACACAGCATTTCCTAGCACGATCCTACATGCAGGTGCTCTGTCTCCTACCCTGGGCTAGAACATCACAGGCTCCCCCTTAGATACTTGTTCATCCCTCCATAAGCGTGTCTAAACCCCTAGGGGAGACAATGAACCACAGAAAATGCAGTCCCTAGCCTTACGGAGCCAGTACTTTAGTACTAAGGTGAAGAACTATGAAGGGCAGATGGAGGCTACAGTGATGACAAAACTTTAAAAAGGTACAGCATGTGGCAGATGTAGAGCAATTCATCCTAACAGGGATGAAGGAAGAGGCCCCTGAGCTGAGTCCCCAAAGGTTTTGGTAGAGGACAAGAGGGGACATTTCAAAGAGAGACCTGCATGGGAAAAGGCAGGCCAACATAGAGACAGCTGCTGTCCCTAGCAAATGACAAACTGGACACGGCTGGAGAGCATGGTCGGCTTAATGCCCTGATGGCAGTGGACAGCCAATGAAAGCTTTTTTCAGAAGGCAGAGGGGTGGCAGGGGATGCTGTGTTCCACGCCATCTTTAAGGGCAATGCAGTGGCTGGTGAAGGGAGGGAAGGCAGTCGGCTCTAGGAATGACAGCAGAGAGTCCAGTGAAAAGGTGGTAGCAACAATCCAGGCAGGCACTGATGAGATGTAATTTTCAGGTGACAGATCCTCAAGAATGTGCTCTGAGAAGATGCCCACATGCAGCAATGC